TTTKGRAAAAWWWTKRAARTTCCTGATGTAACATGYCAYRCACAGMAAGTTTTCCATTCATACGAAAACAACTAAARTGTTTCAGGATACTTTTAAGATTTATCACTATTTACTTATTTGATATCGGAGTTTTGTTAGAGCGAGGACTGACCAGCTAGAGGCTTATCCTAAATGGAACATTATTTACATGAGTTGGTTTTATCTTCTATAGATTATTAACACAATATACTGACGCCGCGTCCACAATAACTGACGTACTCTCCTCATAGCTATTTCGAGCGAAAAAAAACATGGTGGCAAACGTCCATTCCGGAAATCTCCCAAAGAAAAGCAAAACGCGTTAAAATGCCCAAGAGTTTACTATGTGAGGACTGGTCTTAATGAAAGCTTTCTTTTTACCATATTTTTGAATATACAGTTAACTCACGTTATAACGAACAMCTCGGACATAATGAAGTGTCCGAAATAGCGAGGGCGCGCTGTAAAGAGACTTTTTTTCAGTAATTGTTTTGAAGCGGGAGTTTCTCTGTCCGTAATAACGGGGTTTACGTAATATCGAGGGTTGACTGCAAAAAGCAATCTTTTGCTATAATACTAATTCCTGAAAAGCATATCTTTGAAATAAAAAAAAGCTGAACAAAAATAACAAAGCCAGAAAATAGAGGTCTATCTGTTTTATGAAAATTAAAGCTGGTATTAATTTAGTTAATCAATWTCTATAGATAATCCTATAATTGTCCTAGTTTACTTCAAACGCGAGAGCAAACATTTGCCGCGAAGCTCGAGTTTTTGTGGATATGTTCCGACAAATTTTGACGTCAAACCTATTGCATCATAGCACGTGACGTYATTTTTAGTCACAGATGAACTATAAATATATCAGTTAATTTAGCCCAATCACACAAATGTTGCGGTAGCAGACTTGTCCTTGTCGTCAGAYAGTTTCTTCCTGTCGTCACCATATTCCTCAATGAAAGAGCCATCTTCTTTGAATTGTGGGCCTTCACCATAGTCATCCAAACTGTCACGGTCATCGTCTGAGAGATTGTGCTTTTCTAAAGACCCCTGACTAGGGTAGGGTGGGGGATTGTCGTCCATCCTATTAAAATAAGTACATGTGATTAGTTAATAGAACCAAAAAATGAAATTTTCGGAGTTTTATTTGATTTAGACTGCGATCACGAACTCCACTTTTATTTCTCTTTGTCAACCAGTCAATAAATTCTTCTTGTTAGTGATTCGGGCAACGCGTAGTGTCGCTAAAAAATGGAATACTCAATTCTTTACGTTCCCAGCGCCATCTTGAAAGGTAGGCGAGCCTTGCCTCAAAGCGGKACAGTCTGTGTCTGATGCAAAGGCAAAAGGCTCGACTTCAAGACGGAGGGAAGCTGGGAACTGTAAAAAGTGAAAAATGGAGTATTCAAGATGGCGGCGCTATGTACAAAGGTATGTAATATATCGATAACTTACGGTCCCATGTCGACCATATCTTCCTCGTCTGCCGGATCAAGTATTCCGGCCCTTTCCTTTTCTCTTTTACCAACTGAAAGCCAAAAAAGAACATTATCAATTAWAAAARGAATAGAGTGAAGTCATTTGACCAGCGAAACAAAACTTGACTCTTAAAGTAATAGACAGAAAAGAAAACTATGCATAATGAGCGTACTTGGGTGTATTAATGCAATAACTATTTCACGGTTTTTTCCTTCACTCTTCTAGAGTGCGGTCATTAAACCCGTGAAACAAAATCTAACTGTTAAAGTGTGATAGTCAAATGAAAACAGTGGAATTACAGCGCACCAAGGTGTATTAATGTAATATCTATTTCACGGGTGGTTTTTTTTTTCATCGCTTTTGAGTGCTATTACTAAAAGCGTGAAAAAGTACTTGTCAAACAGTGCCAAATAGCGCAATAAAGTGTAGACTAGACAATAAAAAACAATTCAGTTCATTGAGCAAAAATTTAATATCGCTTACCTGGATACTTGGCTCCYTTTTTTCTCGTATACAAAATGGCGACCAGTAAAAGGATAAACAGCAACAAGATGAGCACCATYAAGATTATAAACCACGGYGTCTTATAAAACGGTGTACTAACTCGCTTCCCAGCACCTGTGACATTTAAATTAATTTTACTTTATTATATTACATTTATTTAGTACCTTTCATAATCATGCATACTAGAAAAGTTGGTTGTTCTGTCAGTGATAGACCTTGGGAAGTCCCTKAGGTAAATTTGACACGTTTTATCATCACAAAAGTTTCTATCCTAGTGATATAACTAACTAGAAAGGCACTTTATTTAATAATTGAAGTGCTTAAATTAATTAAWATTAACATTTAGTGACATAAAGTGTTTTTTTTTATTGGAAAACATTGGGAAAATCGGCTTTAATTGCGTTTCTAGAAGATAAGCAAGGTACCAATTTGAAAGGAATTATACTAGSAAGCAATCTTTGAAAATGATGTATGGAAATCCAGCTCGTTTAAATAATAAAACATATATTTGCAAATATCAATGATAAATAAGCGAT